ACCTCTCTTCTATTCAAAATCCACTCCAGAGTTGCAGACTGGCCTAGTAGGGCTGCCTTCTTGGCCTGATCGGCTGTAGTTAGTGAGGCCCTGGGTTAGAGGCCAGTGCCACCATGTGCCACCTGTGTGCCTAGCGCCTTAGGTTGGAGCTCCCAGGAGCAGAGCCCGGGACTCTTGTGAAGGTAGCATAGAGGGACTGCTCTCAGGAGAAGGCAAAGTGCAGGGTAAGGCAGAGGACAGCTGGCTGGAAACCAGCACAGACGCCCAGGGAGCTGACCCCATCTTTCAGCAGTGGTGTTAAAGTCTTCCACCAGGGGTTGGTCAGTTGTTGGCTGCTGTTGGGGGAGAGGGATGTAGTGTGGGCTCCCAGGGCCAGGAAACCCCTGCCAACCAAGGGCACTTCACAGAGAAGGGAGCAAGTTGCTGGCAGCCCATCCTAACCGCAGCTGGGGTCCAGTGAGATCACAGCGTCCATCGGTTTACAGCCTGGGAAAGGTGCTGAATTCCTTGGGCCTCAGTTTACTCAAAGTAGACATAATAATGGTGCCTCTCCCAGAGCAGGGCTGATGCACCCCTTAACACAACAGCCAGGAGCAGCTGTGGTGGCACAGCCTGTGATCCCAGATGCAAGGGAGGTGGAGATAAGGAGGATCATGGTCTGAGGCTGCTGGGGCAAAAAACTCAAGAGCCTACCTGAAAAATAACTAAAGCAAAAAGGACTGGGAGCGTGGCTCGAGTACAACGCTTACCTAGCAAATGCAAGGCCTTGAATTCAAACCCCAGTACGTCAAAAAGAAAGGGAGGGAGGGGAGGAGGAAAAGAGCTCAGGAGCTGTGGTTTGTTTTAATTAGGGTCCTTGTAAACAGGGGTTTGCACTAGTCTTGGGGGGATGCATTAGGTCCCTTTGAGCATCCTGGAGACAGAGGGCTTCTAAACACTGGATGAAAGGGCCCCTACCCAGAGCCAGGGCAACCCTGGGCTCCTCTCCAAAGAGAACTCATGACCTTCTGCCTCCCACATTCTACTGCATTTGTGGGAGGTCTGGGGTAGGGCTGGCCACCCCTTCCTATCCCCAAACCTATGGCTGTTTCCTTCCAGTTTTCCCTCCCTGTGGCAGTGGCCTTGGGAGTGTGAACATAGTTTCCATGTTTGGTTTACAGCCTTAGACCCGGCCATCTGGGGAGAGTTGTCATTTGTCCACCTTGGGTCATCTACTCTCACTCCAGGAGGTCCCCTGCAGAGCCATGTCTGAGACAGGGCACAGATTTTCCAGAGGATGTCCTGGGCCTTGTTCCCATTCTCTGTAGCATCTCAACTTTGTTCTGTCACTCTCGTCTTCGGGGACATTCTGGGCTCTCTCTCCGCACCCCTCAGAACCCCTCACACTGCCCCAAGCCCCAAGCGGGAGAGTGAGCTCTACCCCTGCCAGGGAGGGACCGTGGTCAGAGGTGGGGTGGGGCCACTGCCAACACCAAATTTCTTTTCCCACACTCAGGACTTGGAAAAGGCACAGGTTGTGTGACACTGGCAGATGGGATTCTGGAAGTTCCAGGAGAGCACGTGCATGTGTAGAAAGGCTCAATGTTCCCACATCCTTTCCCAAGCCCTGAACCTTCCAACAGGTGCCACCCAGCATGAAGAAGCAGAAGCATCTGTGCCTTTCACACCCTCAGGACGCCTCTCCACACCCTGGAAAGTGCAGGGCCCACCTGGGAAACACCCTAACCACTATCTCCTCCAAGTACCCTACCTGAGACTGGCCCCCTCCCATCCTCCTCTGCCCACTGCCCTCTCTGGACTCCAGGCTCCAGCCGCTGGGAGCTTGTTGGTTCTCTGTCCTCTGGAAGCAGAGCAAATAGCTTCCAGCCTGAGGACCACCTGGCTCCAGACAGGGTCTTTCTCCAGGGCCCACTGAGGGTCAGGGCACCAAAGTGAACTCTCTGGCTGGGGATGCTGTACCGCCTTGGAGAGCTGCTGTCTTCTCTGGGAAGAAACTACCTAGATTCATGATCCCTTGGGCTCCATCCAAACCCAACAGCCTGGAAGCACAGACCCAGGTGGGCCTTGAAATGTAGTTGTCATGGCAACAGAGACACTAAATGGTCTGGGAGTGGCAGAGCTGGTTATCTGTCGGCAGGTGGTCAGGCAGTCAGTCGTGAAGATGTGGATCCCTCGGTCCATGTAAGAAACGGACGTGGTGAGCTCAATCGGTGCCAGGTCCTGGGAGTTGAGGCTATCAGTCAGTGCAGTGACAACAGTGCCCACCAACTGTAGAGTGGCCAGGTGTGGTGTCTGATGCTTCCCCCAGCATCTGTTCACTGCGTCGATGCTCATTGTCAGGGGCATTGTGCCCTGGGCCGGTTGGGGCCAAAGAGCTCATGCACTTGTGCCATGATGCAGGGAAGCACAGGTGTGCCAAGCCTACAGGAGTGGAATGGCTACCAAGCCAGGTAGGCCAGGTGTAAGGGGCCTGATCTGAGGCTAGAGGGGCGAGTGTGGCTCCCCAGGCAGAGCAAGTGGGGTAGAGAGGGCCTTCCAGATGGGCTGGACAGCTTGCAGAAAGGAGGGGACCAAGTGAGCATGGGATGAATGCACGAATAGCAAATGACAGGTGTGTTTGGGGAACTGCGGGTCGTTCTCTCTTATTGTCATGGAGGAGTAGTGAGAGTGATGCAAAGTGAGCAGGAGTCAGCCAGTGAAGAATCTCAAATGTTCTACTAAGGAGCTCCGATCTGGATCTTGGTGTGAGCCCTTCATCTGCTCCGTAAAGGCCAGGGAGGGGGTGGATGGGGCTGGGTCGAGGGCACTGCTGCTGTTGACCATAGAAGGGATGACTACATCCAGAGCAGTGGGGCCATAGGGACAGGCTGCTTTGGGAACTGGTGAGCAGATGGGCCCAACAGGTTCTGGTTAGGGCTTGGACTGGAGGAGTGGGAGGCTGGTGGTACCATTCCCAGAATTGGAAAGAGGTAGAGGGAGGGACGTGTAGGGAAAAATGATGGGTTCAGCTTGGGACACATTGCTTTGGGAGGTGCAATGTGTCCCAAGCCAACTGAGGTGTTCTGTGAGCAGCAGGGACAAGTCAGGGCTGGGAAGAGAGGTGTGGGCGCCCACAGTACACACAGGGCATGTCACTGGGGTCAGGCTGAGACTGCCCTAGGTAAAGCAATGGGAGCAAAGAGCCCAGGGCCAAACAGCCACATCAGAGAGGGGCAGGAAGATAAGGAGCTGAGTGCAGGAGGGACCAGAGAAGCAGGGGAGGCAGGAGGAATGTCCTGGAAGCCAGCAGGTGCTTTCGTTATGAGGACTCATAACCATCCCTGTTCCAGAAGTGAAAACAGAAGCTCCAGGTGACTGAGGCCAAGGGTGTGCAGTTGGTCAGTGGTGGAGATGGAATTAGAACCCAGTTTCTCTGACTCCAAAATATACTACGATGTTCCTACTATACCGTGTTTGGCAACACGGGGCTTGGCACAAAGCAGGTGCTCAATAAATATTGGATGGATGCAGGGATGGAAGGATGGATGGGTGGGTGGATGGATGGATGGAAGGAAGGAGGGAAGGAAGGAAGGAAATGAAGGAAGGAAGGGTGATGATGAATACATGAATGGGTGAATGCAAAGATGGATGCAAGGATGGACAGGTGCATGGGTGGATGGAATGCATGCATGGATGGGTGGATGGACACGATTAACAGCAAACCATTTTTAAAGATTTCAGCCAATAAGCAGAACGATGCTGAAGTGTGCCTGGGAGTCTGTCCATGAACGGATGCAGCTTGGAACTTTTTATAGCACTGCAGACGTGGCAATGACAAAGGCTTGCCTTCCTTCAATTTCATGGCAAACGATCCTTTAAAGTCCTTTCAAAGCAAGCGGTTTTTTTTTTTCACCCTCTTCTTTCCATTCTTGCAAACGAAGGATGATTTTAGCTGCAAGCTCTCTTTATTTTGCTAAAGTACACGATGAGTAAAGCGGTCACCCAGTCAGCACTTTCCAATTTTGAAGGATGCTAAAGACTGATCTTTGAAGGCTTGCTTCCCTTCTCCATGCTTCAAAGGGTCTGAGGCCTGTGGAGGGGACAAAGACCAGCAGGGAGGCAGCACCTCCAGCAAGGCTGGGCCTCACAGTGGAGGCTAGGAGGCTGCTGGGTGGGAACAGGTGCTACTCAGGGCCCCTCTGGCCTCCTGGTGGTGTCTAGCACATCCTCCTCTGGCCTTCTTTTCTCTATGGGACAGGGTCCAGGCTGTGTCCCAGTCCCCACAAAGCCAAGAATCCATTACCTAAAATTACCTGAAATGAGCGAATGAGCTATAGGGGGCTGTTTGACAACCTGCACCAGTTAACCACACCAAGATAACAAATGCACTCAATCCTGTTTATAGAGTTTTAGATGCAGATTGGGGTGGGACAAAGTGACAAAAACAAGCTATGAGCTATCTGTGAGCTAGCACCTATCAGACATTTATTGTGAGCCAGACACTGTGTCGCCTACTTCCCAGGATTATCTCACTCTGCCTCCCAGCAGTCCTGTAGGTGGGTGCCACCATTGTCCCTATCTTTCAGGTGAGGAAAGGGCGATGAGACAGGAAAAGGAGATGCCAGAGGCCACCTGAGGCTCGGTGGCACTGAGATTTGTTTGCACTCTGCTCACAGAGGCTGCACCCTGGTCACACACAGGGTGGGGAGTGTAGCTGGTTGATCTTGTCTCTGCCACCTGCTCCCCAGGGAACCTCAGAGGGGGCCTTTCCCCGCCTCTTGCCTCAGTTTCCCCCTAGGTAAACGAAGGAAGAAGACTGGAGGATGGCGCTCACTCTGTGGGGCTTGCAGTTCATGGTGGGGGCACAGGGAGCCCTGGGCCCCTCTGGTGGGTGGCTTTGGCCCCAGGGAGGGCAGGCAGAGGTGCTCCCTTTGGCTGGCAGCCTGGGCGCATTACGTTGGTTACGTTCTCTGCCGTGGGTGCTGCCATCGCTCACCTTCACGCGTGTCCTCTGTCTACAGGGGAACGACGTACGAATCATCCTTGGCCAGTTTGACCACCACATGGCGGCGAAGGTGTTCTGCTGTGTGAGTAAAGCCATGGTGTCGCCCACGTCTGGTCACCACGCTTCTCCTCCAAGGCCTGGTCCCTGCCGGCCGTGAGCCTGCGCTCCCAGGAGCAGAGCCTGGTGCTCACTGCTCTGTCCCTTGCCCAGGACACAGAGCTAGTGGGTGGTCATGGGAGTCATGGACCCATCTCCCAATCACCATGGCTGCTGCCAGAGCCCCTCAGCCACTCCCAAGGCCACTCTGCTTCAGCCACTCCACAGAGCCCCAGTGCGGCTCAGACCCTTCATGCCTGAGAGTCATGTGTGGGTGACAAAACGACAAACTCCATTATCTCACCCTCAGTCCTTTAAAGTCCTCTTAAGCTGGCCATAATGTACATACAGTGTGTGACAAGTGACAAAGGACTTTTGTTCTGTTTTTTGACACAAGGTTTTGTTGTATAGCCCAGGCTGGCCTAGAACTCTCCATCCTCCAACCTCCACCTCTCGAGTGCTGGGATTATAGGCATGCATCACCATGCCCAGCCAACCCAAGCACTTTTTTATACCTTATCTCATTTTACCTTTTCAGTAACAAGTGGAGCAGCTATGACTGTCCCTTTTTTGCACGAGGAAATAGAGGCCCAGAGAAGGAGAGGGGCCTACCCGAGGGCCCTCGGCCAACGTGCCGGAGCTAAGGTTCAATCCTGGTTCACCCGACTCCCAACCCAATCTAACCACTGAGGTTTTTCTCTATGCAATGCGCTCAGTTAATTAGGCTAACTTGGCTCCCCTTCCCCCCGCCTGAGTCAGGAGCCACAGAACGTGAGGCCACAGAATGTGAGCCCCTTGTGGAGTCATCGACCACCCGATAACCCTCCCCTCTTTGACTGAGGTTATTTTTTTCTGTGTAGTGTCTACTGATGGGCCACAGAACTCTTGTCTTGCACCTTTGGATGAGGTTATATGTAGCAGGTTTGTAGGAATTGCAGAAGTCCTGAAATGTGTTGGATGGCAGAGCCAGGGTGCAGAGAACCCGCATAGGGTGGAACAAGTGACTAAATCCAAGAAGGTGAAATGGAATGGTTTTAAAGTCACACTGGAACGATCTGAGCTGAAAAGTGCAAGGTGAAGCCCAGCTGAGGAACACTGAGTGCTGGAAGAGAAGACTCCGGAGGTAGTCTAAGGTCACCAGTGTGAGCACAGCTGCCAGAGGCTGAAGTGACCTCAGACTGTCCACACCAGGCCAAGTGGACCCTCTGCCTTCTGCTGGCGGGGCTTAGCATGGGGGGTCTGCCTGGTGCCCCACTTCAGGAGCCATTCAGTAGCTGAAAAGACCCCAGGAGCAAGGACAGGTCTGTGCCTGGAAGCCACCACCATACGGGGTTACCGCACCCCTTGTCTCTGGTTTCCTGGGAGAACGGAGGCCCTGATGCTGAGGTTTCAGGAGGCCCCAGGGAGTGTGGGGGATTGGAATGTTATTCGCTCTCCCCAAGCCTCAGTGGCTGCAGCTGCAGCGTGGGGTAATCACACCCTCATCTCACAGGCATGGCGTGGACGTGGATGAGCAGATGCCCTCTGCATGGCAGCCCTTGGGACCGGGCTCTTCTGATCCCTTGGAGTCTCAGATGCGTGGAGGTGAGTGCCGGGCTCCATGGCGAACTGAGCGTCCAAGATCTGAAGAGGAAGATGACAGTCCCTGACAAGGCAGAGCACCCAGATTTCACCATGTTGTCCCAAACTCAGAGCCTCGCTCCTCACCACTTGAGCATTCAGAAAGGACTCGTCTTAGGAAGGAAGCAAGGACCCACGTGAAGAACACTTTTGAGAAGAACTGGGATTTGACCCTCTGTCTCCCCAGACCTTGCAAGGAGGTGGCATGTGGCAGGGCTTAACATTGGTCACATGAATAAAACAGATGACTGGGAGGAATAAAGCAATGGAAGTGACCCGCAGAGAGGCCCCCCAGGTTAGCCGGCCACCTCCCGTTTGCAGAATATGTGGACAGGCCACACTCTGATTCCACCAGGGCTGCGTTTCACTCTGGTCACACACTGGGCAGTTGTCCCAGTGGCTTCTGTGGCCATGGAACAGATGGTCTGGCCCTTGCCTGTGCCCCTGCAGTGCAGGGCTGGTCCCACTTCCCTCCTCTCCTGCGATGCTCTGGCCACACTCAGGTGCTCTAAGAGCCCTCGCCCCCTTCTCGAGGACTTTCTTAGCACTTGGGTCAGGTTTCCAGGCCATATGCCAACCCTCAAGGGACCTGTGCTCAAGCGCACTGGGTTCTGTTAGGAGGAAATCTCTGGCAGGTGCAGAAGGTCCTGTGGTGGGTCTGCCAATGCCCCATGCTGAATGGAGCCTGGTGATGATGGAGGGGACCACTCAGAGCAGAGCCCCAGAGAGCCCTCGGGTCTCTGTGGGGTCAGAGCACAGACCAGATGGAGAATAAGGTGGCTTTGCAGTGTGTCCTGTGCTCCTGAGATGGAGCTGCCACCAGGTGGGAGGGAGATGCCAGCAAGGACAGCCTATTCAGAGCCCTTGGCTGGGGTTGGGAGGGCTTACCTGACCCTCTGTCTCCTCTGCTCTTGTCCAAATCCCCCAGCGCTCAGAGCCAGGCTTTAGAACTGCCAGCTGTGTGTTCTCAGGCTGGTCACTTAAATGCAACAAATTCAGGCTGACCTAAGAGACTTGAGGACTGTGATAGTGACATCCTGAGTTGATTACATGGTGGCCACACCTGGAATCCCAGCACTCAGAAAGTGGAGGCAAGAGGATCCCAGTTTGTGACCAGTCCAGGCAAAGTTAGTGAGAACCCCATCTCAAAAACAAAATACAGGCTGGGCATGCTGGCTCACATCTGTAATCCCAGTTACTTTGGAGATAGAGACCCAGAGGATTGTGGGTCAAGTTAGTGAGCCCCTCTCAACCAATAAGCCAGGCATGTTGTACACCTGTCATTCCAGCTACTGAGGAGGCCATAGGTAGGAAGATCGTGGTTCTGAGGCTGGTCCCAGCATACACACAAGAACCTATCTGAAAAATACCTAATGCAAAAAGGAATGGGGGCGTGGCTCAAGCAGGATGACGCTCAGGGCTCAAACCAACAGAGAGGAAGAAGGAGACGGACGGAGAAGAGTAATTTAGGAAAGTCAAGAACCCTGGAACCACACAAAGAAGAAGAAAGAAGGAGAAGGGGGAGGGGGAGGAGGAGAAAGAGAAAAAGGAAAGAAACAGGCTGGACCAGACAGCCAAAAAGGAGATGGGAGTGGATGCCAGGCTCCAAGCCCAGCTGTCTAGGGCCAGCCGGCTGCCAGGACAAGCCCCAGAGCCTCACCGTGCGGGGCCCACGGTGACACAGAACCTTGAGGTAGCAGAAGAATAGGGGACGAGAAGGAGCTGCTTTGTGGTCCTGAACACAGTGCTGAGGATGCTCACTTTATGTCACCAACTCTTCCACCAGCAGCCTGGGAGGCCAGCTGTGGGGACAGCAGAGAGGCAGGGAGCCAAGGACCCCACAGGCCAGGGACAGAGGGCCAGGGGACCTCACTACATTCTGTTCTCTTTCCCAGAGGCCAGAGCTACACTAGAGAAAGTCTTGGCGTTGTCATTCCATGTTCTGGACAGCTCACTTGCAAGGAACGGCTTGGGACCAGTGTGCTGAGGCAGCTCTGCCGTTAAGTGACCCGGGACCACTGGGATTTCCTCTTGTTCAAAAGTCTGGTCCTGCCCACATCATCCCAGCACTCAGGAGGCTATGAGTTCAAGGCCAGCCTGGGGTGCATAGTGAGACCCTGTTTCAAAAAAAATGGCAGTCAGGAACTGGCCTTCCTCTTTTCTTTAAATAAAAGTTTCTGTGGATGGAATTCCACTCATTAAAGGGATACCCGTGAGACTACGTGCTTTTGTTCAGCTGAGATCTCCTACCACAGCCATTTTGAATGGGACAATATTATAATGTAATTGCTGGAGAAATGACTATGATTGAATTACAAGATGTATACCGTCTAGAATGAGGGAGGCGAAAGTGCTATATCAGGTGTCCGGAGAAGACGGGGAAGATCACTCTTGAGATAGTTGAAGGGCCCTTCTGTTGCATGATGTCTGCTTAGTCTCCAGAGCCTTTGCTGAACCACAGAGACAGCATCTGGGCTTAAAAGTAACTCCCATCAGCCCCAGTGGGACAGTCCACTCAGGTGGCAGAGAGGGAGGTTGGAGTGGTCACTGCCTAGGACGTGGGGCCAAAAACTTTTGGTAACCTTTCTGTGATGCACACAGACCTTGCCTCACCTGCAGCCTGGTGGGGACAGCCAGAGCCTGAACTTGGTCCCCTCTCAGGTCCTCCTCACTTGTCCTGCACTGACCTGGACCCCACCGCAGGGTGGACACAGCCATTTCCAACTGAGTCCTCCCACCTTGGGCGCTCCGGGCTCCTATTGAACCATGTGCGGCCCCACACCATACAGCATCTCTGCCTGGCTGGAACCTTTGTCTGCTTGTCTATGTCTGTTCCTTTTATCTCCAACAAACATTATTTCTATGCTTTCATGTTTACCTAGTACTTACTATTTTAGTACACAGGTAATGATAAAATAACAAGGTGGAGACGGAACAGGCGATAGACAAATAATACCCGGTGGGAGGAGGACGCCTGACCTCCCTCCTCCTTTCCCTGGGGCACAGCCTTGACCGGTGCCTGACCCCCGGCCCTGTGTCTTGCAGGCCTTCGAGGAAAACATGTATGGCAGCAAGTACCAGTGGATCATCCCCGGCTGGTACGAGCCGTCCTGGTGGGAGCAGGTGCACACAGAGGCAAACTCATCCCGCTGCCTGCAGAAGAACCTGCTAGCTGCCATGGAGGGCTACATTGGCGTGGATTTTGAGCCCCTGAGCTCCAAGCAGATCAAGACCATCTCAGGAAAGGTCAGTGCCTTGGTTCATCCTTTGCAGTCCCCCAGCCCATCTCCGTGCATCAACTTGCCTGATACTGTTGTCCTGAACCATTGCTGTGTGATGTCGAGCAAATTTCTTGACCTCTCTGAGCCTTGAAACCTATAAAAGGGAGCTAGCCAGTCCATGGCATCACGTCCCTCCAGGGAACCGTGATTCTCAAGTGTGGTAAGGATGCATGATGCCACACTGCAGAGGTGGAGTTCTGACTTCTGCAGTTTTGACCATGGGGCTGGTACCAGTTTTGTCCTGGGCTGCCATGACCTGGAGTGTCATCTCTGTCTCAATGACACTGTCCTGGAGGAGCAGGGGGCCTCCAGCAGACTTGGGGAACACGTTGTAGATCAAATAGGTTGGAACCTGGGTACCAGTTTCCAGCTGAATGGCTGGGAGGTTGGCCTGTGCTCTTCAGCCTCTGTCCCAGTCTACAGGGTTGATGGCAGATTGCACAGTGTAGCCAGCACAGTGCTGCCACATTTGGGAGCAGGACCTTGGACAGGGGACCTGAGTCTTGGGGCCTCGGCCCCTGCCCCGGGAGTCCCCACCCTGTTACCCTGCCTGCCATACAGCACTGTGCAAGGACCTGATAATAGAGTGCAGGAGGCAGTGTACCCAAAGTACACCACTCCATCAGTGTGGAAATGATCCAACTGCAAGATCAGCAGGGCACAGTAATCCAGCTACCACTAGATCAGGAGGGTCATGGGTCTAGGCCAGTTCAGGCAAAAAAAAAAAAAAACAATGAGACCCTACCTGAAAAAATAGCTAAAGCACAAGGGGTGGAGATGTGGCTCAAGTGGTAGAGCACCTGCCTAGCAAGTGCAGAGCCCTGAGTTCAAACCCCAGTACCACCAAAAGAAAGAAAGAAAAAAACTTTGGGATGGTGGCCTTGGTGAAAACGCTAATCATACCCTGTCCTGCTCTGGCCACCAGCCCAAATTCTGAGCAGCACCGCACTCTCCTCTGTCTTCTCTGGATTGGGAGAGTTCAATTCTCTCTCCAGCACAGAGTTCTTACAGACCTAATTTTATACTTCATAATAAAGTGTATATGCCTAAAATAATTTTATTCATTATTTAATCTCAATCAGAGCCAACTCTACACCAATGATTTATGGATTTGTCAAAAAGCAGCAAATTTTTGGGACATGTTTTGTAAACAGCTCCTTAGATCATGTTGACACCTGGTTAGAAAAACGCTGAAAGAAATATTTTCGTACCAAAATCAATGCACATATACATTTTTTTTGAGGTGTTGAAAAACAAGCAGAAATAACTCATTTTATTTTGGTAAATGTTATTTTTATGGGTGTCAAAGATTGTAATATTAAGATACTCAGATGCAGGGATACCTCTATTTCAATCTAAATATAGTATAAAAATTGAGGAAGATAGCCATAAAGGCAGGCAGAATAATAACTAAACTGAGGGCCGGAGGACAATCACAGATTGAAAATGGCCTGTGGGGTCTGAGGAGGCCTTGAATGCCGATGCCAGGAATGTGGCTTTCCTGTGGCTGAGCCGCTCGGACGTGCGTGGGACCCAGGGTTGCGCACAAGGAAGGCCGTGCCATCTGAAAGGAAATGTCTGGAGTTTATGCCAGGATGCCAGGATCCCTGATTTGCATTTCTCACCTGCTTCATCTGGGGCTGACAAGGAGGCTGCCCCTGCACATCGCTGTCCCTTGCCTGGGACACGTGGGGAAGGGATGGTGGAAGTCACCCAGGCCTGCAGCCTCCAGCCTCTTGGGACAGCAAGATGTCAGGGCTTCCTCAGAGCTCAGGCGCCACCTGCCACAGGTCCTCAGCAGGGGACTTGCTACTTCATTTTCACCCTCATCCCTCGAGGACTCCCCCAACTCCTGGCCACTCAGATCCTGCTGGCCCCCTCTCGAGGCGTGGCAGTGCCGACTACCCTGAGAGGTGTCCCTCCTGTACACTGAATGGCCCCGGTCCCCACAGTTGTAACTCCCACATCCAGGGTGGGCACTAAGAGCAAAATTTAAGGGGTGCCAAAAACCTGTGTGTTCAAGATTTTTTAAAACTTCATGTTAACCTGGTGCTTTTTGGCTTTTTATTTTTGGTGGGCCTGGGGTTTGAGCCCAATGTGGTGCTTTTTTAAAAAAAATCAAAACTAATGCAATAATTGTGATTTTTAAAAACATAGCATTAAAATATTTTATCCTGATTCCTGAATGGGTTTATCTCTCCCCTTTTAAATTTTGCACCACAAGGTAGGGCTTCATTTGCCTCACCCTAGCCCCGGCCCTGCACAGATTGTATTTGTCATGCCCTCTGCCCGAAACACACACACACTCAGCCAAACCTCTGTACCTGCACTCATCGAACGCTCCCTTCCCAAGGCATGAGCTCCAGAGTTGAATAAAGCATTCCTATGTATGATCTGACCCCAACCAGCCTTCAGAAGCATATCACCAAAGAAGGTTCTAGAAGTCAAGAAATATTTCTTGAAGTTTGATTTGTGCTGTGCGTGACTGTCAGGGTGGTGCTGGCGTGGCACTGGTGCGGACCGACTGATGCCTGTATTTGGATGTTGGTGAAGACAGGAAAATGCTCGGTGCTGGTAGCAAGCAAAGAGCTCTTGCTGTCCTCACTGTGAACAGACAGGGAAACTAGGTGCAGAAGGGAAGGGACACACCAAGCAAGGTCACTGCCGTGAGGTCCCTAGAATGCTATGTCCTCATCCGTGCATTCTGTCTGTGACTTGATTTGGGAAAAGAGGGTTTGCAAGTGTCATTCACTTATGGCTCTAGAGATGGGGACCCTGGATTGCCGGGGGTCCTAAATTCAGTGACAGGTATCAGAGAAAAAGGCAGAGAGAGGGGCTGACACCCAGAAGAGAGTCCTGGGAAGACCGAGGCAGAGCTGGAGGAAGGCATGTGTTAGGCTGGAACACTGCAGCCTTGAGGTGAGGAGAGGCAGGGGCCTGGGCTCTCAGAGTCTCAGAGTCTTCAGCTTTCTTTCTCCATTCAGTGAGGAGAGGGGAAATGGAGGAAGGAAATGCAAAGTTTAAGGCACAGATCATGTGGAGTGAGGAACAGTGGCAGGTTTCAGAATTAGATTTTTTGAATTTTTTTTTGAGGTACTAGGGTTTGAACTCAGGACCTACATCTTGAGTCACTCCACCAGCCCTGCTTTTTGTGATGGGTTTTTTTCAAGATAGGGTCTCATGAACTATTTGCCTGGGCTGGCTTTGAACCAAGACCTTCCAGATCACTGCCTCCTGAGTAGCTAGGATTACAGCCATGAGCCACTGGCGCCTGGCTGGATATTTTTAAGGAGAACACTCACGTCACCACCACCAAGTGAGGGGAAAGCATGTCAGCAGAAGCTTCCCAGAGATACCCTTCTCAGGCAGGGCCCACCACCACCAGCAGCTGTTCTTCTAACTTCCTTTTGAACTGGGCTAAATGAAGTCACAGCGACTTCAAGAGAAGCTCTTGTGGAGCTTCCCTCTTCCACACGGTATCACGTTTGTGAGGTTCGTTGATGCAGGAACTTTTTCATGTTCTCCGTTCTCTTCTAGTCCACGGCATGTTGCAAGCAGACATTTGGATGGCTTCGTTTGGAGCTATTGCTGTGATCCTTACCATCCAGTGCTTGGTGGAGGTACACGCTTTGAAATCTCTCTCCTGTAGGAAGTGCTCTGGTCTGTCCTGCTCTTCTATCTTTGGCTTTGGAGTGGATAAGTCTTCCAGTAATTATTCTACTTCAGCCTAAGTAACTCCCGTCTTCTGCCTGAGTTCCCTCAATCTGCTCTTGTTTACTACAAAATCTTGCACCAAGACATGGTAGGGCAAAAGCACAGGAAACATCTGTTAACTTTTGAATTGTTCACAGTTATTTTACATTTCTGGTGTCCTCTGTCTTCAGTTATTGGTTAGAATCACATTTTGCATAGAATTTGGGAGATTTGAGAAGTCTAATTTAAATACAGCTACCCAAGCCAGTGGCTCGCACCTGTAATCCTAGCTACTCAGGAGGCAGAGATCAGGAGGATTGTGGTTCGAAGTCAGTACCAGGCAAATGGTTCACAAGACCCTATTTTGAAAAAACCTATCACAAAAATAAAAAAGGGGGCTGGTGGAATGACTCAAGGTGTAGGCCCTGAGTTCAGACCCTAGTACTGCAAAAAAAAAAAAAAAAATACAGCTACCCATAAGTCCTGTACATGGAATGCTTTAATGGATAGAAACCTTTTATTTTAATAGAGCTGCCCCAAGTCTATGTGATATCTTTTTTCCTCCTTGGTCTTATTGAAGTTTTATTGTTTTATCTGTCACATTGAGACTTACAGTCAACCTGGAATTGAGTTTGTGTATGGTGTGAGGTAAGGATCAAGATTCCTTTCTTTTTTTTTTCTTTTTTCATTTTTCTTTTATTATTCATATGTGCATACAAGGCTTGGTTCATTTCTCCCCCCTGCCCCCACCCCCTCCCTTACCACCCACCCCTTTCCTATTGGCCTCAGTTGCTTTAGTTTCTGCATTAAGGGCAAACAAATGCTAGTTAGTTTTTTAGGTGTCTTACCTATCCTCACCCCTCCCTTTGTGCTCTCGCTTTTATATGTGCTCAAAGTCCAATCCCCTTGTTGTGTTTGCCCTTGATCTAATGTCCACATATGAGGGAGAACATACGATTTTGTCTTTTGGCCAGGCTAACCTCATCAGAATGATGTCTCCAATTCCATCCATTTACCAGCGAATGATAACATTTCGTTCTTCTTCATGGCTGCATAAAATTCCATTGTTATAGATACCATTTTCTTAATCCATTCGTCAGTGCTGGGGCATCTTGGCTGTTTCCATAACTTGGCTATTGTGAATAGTGCCGCAATAAAACATGGATGTGCAGGTGCCTCTGGAGTAACAGTCTTTTGGGTATATCCCCAAGAGTGGTATTGCTGGATCAAATGGTAGATCGATGTCAGCTTTTTAAGTAGCCTCCAATTTTT